TAGCGTCGCGGAAAGGTACGGCGCAGGTCGATGGTGGCGCAGCGTGTTTGAATTGAACGGCAAGAGGGCGAAGCCAAAGCCAGTCCTGTCTGTAGAGAGCTGATCTTCCTAATAGCAGCGTGCTGCGGTGCTCGGGAGCGCCTGCATCTGGAAGCAGTGCTGGCAGCGGCCCAAAGCAGCACCTCCCTCGGCCGCAGACAGCTCTTGATGGAGAGCTGTGGCCACCATGTGCTGCTGAAGGCTTGGACACTGTCGTGTTGGGCCAAGGCGCTGCTAGAGCGGTTCTGTGACCAACATGCCTGGTGCTGTTATCCCAAAAGAAGGGTTCTTTCACCCAGTGTTCGAGTCAATACACACAGGGTCAAGGTACTTCTTTCATTCCATGTCTGCGCAGAGTGGTATTTTTGCTGACTTCATGCTTTTCAGGCGATCAGCTGTTGGGCCTTTTGGGGCAGGATGTTCCCCTGTTACCTTGTCTTCAAGTGTGTAGTCATTAGCAAGGCATGCACTGTTTATGCAAAATATCAGGCTTACACATTAGAGCCAGTGGTTAGTGGTCCTCAGAAGATCAGTGCAGTATATTCAATCCTGAATTAAAGTGTCACTATAGCATAGGCATTAACTCAAACATACAGTTTTACTCAGTCTATAGTGTCACCTCAAAAACAGAGCTGAGAAGCTGGGCTGATGGATCAGACCTGCATGGACTTGGTCCAGGGCCTCACAGATAAGCCCAGAGTGAACTAAGGGTATTGTTTTGTGGTCCCAAAAGCGGGTTCTCTCACACAGTGTGCAATAATCCAAGCAACACACTGAGTAGAGGTATTTGTTTATTATTAGTCTGCAGAGTAGGATGCCAGGCATCTAACATAGCCAGCACGCTAAACAATTACAAAACAGGGTTTATATACCTTCTCAGAGTCAGTAAGAGTCCCAAGGATTGGTTGATTAGAAAATGTGGCGTATTCTAAAATAAAGTATAGAATTACAGCATATGTATTACTTTGTTAGCATATTGTTTACATATTGAACAAGTGGGATTTTCACATTTGAATGAGGGTTAGTTTGTGCAAGGTCCTGGTTTTGTGTCAGATATCTAATTTTTAAGACTCTTCCTTAATTGCCTTTGCATAGCTGAGAGTAATAGTATTCTGCCATATATTTGTCTCTCAAGGCTAAGCGTGACAGCATCCTGCAATATATCCTTGTGTTCCTAATTAGATGTTCCTCTTAGTTATAATGTTTCACTTGACCTAATGCCCTTCCATACTAATTCTCAGAGGCTTCACATTACAGTTTGGGGTGACTTCACTGACGTTATGGATTCTGCTTGCCTCAATTCACTGTCCCACTGAGCACAGGGAAGTGTTTCAAATCTGTGCTCACAAAAGGGATCTTGCCAGGAATTTGTAACATAAGTGGAGAATCTTAAAGGATGGGAAGTAAATCCTCCTCAGTCTTTTCCCAGTGAACACAAGTTGCCCCAAGGGGAAGGTCACAGGAGGTTTGGGTAAAAAAGCACCTTCCAGCAAAATGAAGGTGACATCCCTCTGTCCTTTCTTATGTTACCTGAGAGAGGACTCAGTTAGCTCCAGTGTAGTGTCATTAATAGTAGCAGAAATGCCAAATGCCCTGGGTGCACATGTGGCTTTCAAAGTCATCTGGACAGAAAGTATTTCCTCAGTCCAAGGGAGCTGTGGTGCAGAGGGCGTAACACTACAAGGGGGAAATGCTGGTGTCTGGCAGATGCAACCAGGACCAGGCAGCAGATAAGCAAACACACCTCTGCAAATGGAGTTGGAGTTGGATAAACCTTTTTTGATTTTATTTTCACTGCCTTGGTCAGAACTTAGCCAAAGGATGATGTATGTAAGGAGAAAACATGTATAATAAAGGCACCCCAAGAGGGATTTTCTAGTGCTGTCCCAGCAGCAGCAGGAGCTGCTGCTGAGCTCAGTGTCTTGATGAGATAATAAGTGGTTTCTGAGAGCAACTTTAATTAAGCTTCCTCTGAATGTCCCATCTCCTTAATTAAATAACAAGTTGTAGCACTCGCATGGCTGTCAGTTTTGATAGGTACCCTTCTCTTCCTAAGGCAGTTTCTGCCTGCAGGTGCTGAGGTGGGTCATGGTGTGACAACCTGGTCCTGGATCCCAGAGAAGATGTATCAACAGGACCAGTGGAGCTGGGGAAGGGGGGAAACAAGCTTGATCACCTAATACCCTCCGGGAAGGATTTAGGTAGCAATAAATAAAAGAGCTTTGATGCGAGTGGGTCTGGCCCCACTCAGGTCTGGGTGCCCCATGCAGAGAAGGGGGATGCTGGAATCTTTTGATGGCATTTGGAGCCACAACAGACCACCCAAAGAGCACTGCAAACACCCCTGACCTCAAAATTGCAGCTTAGCTGGACTTCAGCTTATTTCCTTGTATTTGACATGAAGGATGCCTCTGCTTGTTTTGCAGTGTGTTGCAGCTGCCTGGAAAGGAAAACCTGAAAGGAGATTTTGGAGAAAAAAGTGCAGTAAATCCTTCTGCTTGTCTCGATACCTTGGACTGACTGACAAGTGCATTGGCATGTTGGGATGCAGCTGGAGCCAGAGCTAATGCACTGTACCTAACCTCAGCGACAGCTGGTGTGCCACCAAGCTGGCCATGCGCCTGGATTAAGGGTGCTTGTGTTGGCAGCCCTCTTCAGGCTATAGCTATCTGTGCTCGGTCTCTGATGTGGCTCTCGTTCAGGAAGGCAAGAGAAGCAGCAGGAGTGGATGGTTTTCCCTGGGACACCCCTATGCCTGCTGTAACAGCTTCCCCCAGCACTTTGCATGGCAGAGGCGCTTGGTTTCTCTACAAACCCCCAATTCTCAGTTCTTTTGTAAGCAAACTGCTCCAGAGAGCCAGGGGATGCTGGAAGCTTTGACTCCAAGCAGCAAGCAAGGGAGTTAGGGGTTGACATGACACCCCTTGCCTGCACCTCCCTCCCCAGGAGGAACATCACCACTTGTTGTGCAATGGATTTCATACCTCCCCTCTAGGCATACCTGTGTTTTGTAAGTCTTGGTTTGCATCAGACATTTGCAGAAGCATGGCTTTCCCATGTCATTGTGCATGGTGGCAGTGGCCCACATTTCCCCTCTCTAAGCAGACAGAGACCCTGCTTCCACATCCAAACCTGGACTTCATCCCAGCTGCTCCAAGAGTGTGGCCATGACCCTTTGAAGGCAATGTTAGAGCTTCTGTTCCTGCCATGCATCAGCCCTAGATATACTCTGATGCATCCCAGGGGCTGTTTTCAGAGGGATGACTCAGAGCCATTGCCTTCTGGGACAGAGGGATGGGGTCAGGTGTGACTCCTCACCCTCTGCAATGTGCCTGGCAGTGCCTGGGACCAGCACCTGCCACCCTGCCAGCTCCACAGGCAGGGAGAGGCAGGAGAGCAGCTTGGGTCTGGGGTTCTCCTCAGGGCAGCACTTCACTGAGGGGTTCTCCATGGGGTGCCCAGGAGGGCTTGGGTGATAGTTGGTGAGAGACAGCAGATCCCCCATCCCCGCCTGTGGCTTCACCTGGCTCCAATGCCCTTTAATAAAATAAGTAGTATCCTTTTTAGATTTTTCTGTCTTTTCTGTGTTCAAGGCAACCAAAATATTAATATGTTCCAATTCTGAAGACTAACATACCACAAAAATTAATTCCTTAAATGCAGCTATTTTCCCTTTTATTATATCTGCCATCCCTGTGCTAGAAGAGGAAGAGCCCACCTGAAGCCTGGGTAAATCAAGGCCGGCAGGCACCCACAGGACCGCAGTTCATAGCAGGCTCTGCAACAAGTTAATCTTTCAGGACTGCAATACCTGGGAGCATGTGGTGTGGGGACACACTCTGTGCTCATCTGTGCCCTTGCTTCGTGCTGACACCACCCCAGGTCTGTGGCTAATGCCACTTTGGCTAGTCATTACAAAGGGACAATAGCTTTTTTCCTGCAGCATGATTTCTATTAAAGGGATTTTTAGAAGAGATGAAACCTAACAGCTGCATTCATAGTATTTTCAGGTTTGCTAACTAATGTGGATATGATCTAGCTGGAGGCGAGACTTCGTCACCCTGAGCCACTGGAGCCATCTGTAGCTCCTTTGGACACAAGAGGGAGTCCTGAATCACCAAAATGACAGGTTTTGCTTTGATTGCTGTGGATTAAAACGCTTTTCCCCGCACTGAGAAAACGCTGGTCACTTGGAGGCCTTTGGTATGTTTTGCTTTCCACCATGGTGGGGTAAATCCATGGTAAATCCAGGACCGTGGATTTCCCCTGCTTGCAGAGGGGACAGGTCAGCTTGCTGGTTAGGTGAAGTGAGTCCTGGTTTTCCTAAAGGATCAGGAATTATCCCTGAAATCAAGCACAGTTGATAGCCCCCCCTCCCACCCCCATTTTGCAGTTCCAGCTAAATGCAGGAAACGGAGGCAAAGCTCCATCTGCCTCCACACTTCTCACTGTGGCATCGGGACTGCAGAGTGCCCCCATCCTCAGTGCCCACAGCATCGCCTCCTCCAAGCGCATCAGCCCCAGCCGCATGTCCCCCCTGGGTCTGGGGACAGACTGACACCCCCTGGCCCCACTGCCCCCAGGGGACATTTGCTGCTGGACAGGGATATTTTGGGAGACATGCCTTTCCCATATTACCCGATTTAATTAGGCACAGTATAATCTTTCTAATGCAGCTTCCAGCAGGGGAACACATGGGAGGTGGAGGTGACATGGTGTCATGCATCCAGTCAGGACAGCCAAGTACCGGCCGAAACCCAACTGAAAGGGCTCGCTCATTCCCCATCGAAGTCACGAGGAAACCTCCAGCTGCCCCGGAGTGGGGCTGGGGCTGGCGCCGGACATGCCAGCCCCGGGCTCGGCAGTGTCCCCATCCCAAGGCATGCAGGCGAGGCATTCCTGTGGGGAAGGGGATGGGCGTGCAGGGCTGTTGGTGGGCTGGTCACATCCCCCGGGGCGGGCACCCCCTTATATCAGCCAGGCTCACGAGGGCAGCGCTGGTGGAGTGTGACCCTGACGTCCCCCGGCCCCTTACCCACCCTCTCCGGCCATGGATGACATTTATAAGGCAGCGGTAAGTGCCTCCCTTTGGGGCTGTGCTTTTGGGAGGTGGGGGTTTAAAGCGTTTGGGGGGGTTTATAGTTGATTTCCCAAAGCTGTGACAGTGTTAATTCAATGGAGCAATGAAAATAAGAAATAATTATGGGGTGGCAACTTTTAAGCAATATCATCATCCAGGACACAGATCTTTCCCACTGATGGCTGTGAAGGTTTCACACTCCTCCTGTAAGTGTGAAACTCTCAACTGTGCTGCTAAATTATTTACAACTACTGTCCTGGTTCCCTGCTGTAAGGCAGGGAAATGGCCCATAGGTGACGTTATAAATCGCAACAAAATCTTGAAAGTATAAGATGTGGCTGCTGGTTTTAGCCCAGACAAAGCAGAGCAGTGTTTCCCACAAAATGAACCTTATTTGTATGGGTTAGACCTCACCCTCCTCTTTATGGTCCTTTAAAATTCTGCTATTGCTACATTTCCCCCTTACTTAGCTGAATATTTTTCTGGGAGATTTAAAAAAACCTTCAGGTTTTGTAAGTTATTTCCAAACATCCTCCTCTGCTTGGCCGCTCCTGATATCTGCTCTGCAGAAATCCAGAATGTGAGCTATGCTCTCAGGGAACGCAGAGCATCCTAACGGCTATTTTAACTTACACAGCTGCATGCTGCACTCACTGTGTAAACCCAAACTATTTGGTCTGTAATAAGAACACTGCATTATTTTGCAATGTAGACAGACAGTGATATGAGAGTTGAATAAGGGTGAAAATAGATTCTGGACTGTGTGGATTGCTACTGTGTCCCTTCCATAACTGGAGTTAAAAATAAAAGCTTTCTGGTGATTTTTAATTTTTTTTTTTTAAATATATAGGATCAGGTTTGATTTTTAACCAAGGGCACAAAAAATACATCATACAAGTCCTATTTTAATTCTGAGGTTTTTAGAGGGAAGACAGATGGTGCTTGATAAATAATTGAAGAAAATACCAAAATGCTCACACCTCTCCTGTCCTTTGGTCAGCACTGAACCTCGTGAAATGGAACCCCCCTAGCAATCCCAATAGTGTGAAAAGGCTTAGGAAAGGCTGTACAATAAAATGCCAAGTCCCCCAACCAGCACCTCCAAAAGGGAGAAAAATGTGACCTGGAAAATCAAGGAAAATCCAGACCTCTTTTAATTAATCTAAAAAGCTTAATTAAAAAATTAAATACATTTTCTGTTACTCAAGGCACAGGTCCTCTCCATGTTGTTTAGGAATCTCATGCGTGTAATTAGGGAGAAGGGCTGAAATGCAAGCCAGTGATGCCCACAGCCAAAAGGGTCTGCCTGTCAGCTGGGACAGCATGCTCACAGCATGGTCAGAGTGCCCTAAAAAGAAAGCTTTCCCTACCTGCATGCTCCAGCCCCTCTCCAAATCTCCGCCTCAGAAGTGGGCAAAAATCCACAGGTGAAGGTCATCCCTACCCGAAGCCTGTGGGCTTCAGCAGAGTTGGACCGTGGAGGAATTTAGCTGAGAAAAAAGAAACTGCAGCAACAGAGAACAATCCCAAAATTCCTACCTCAGAAACTTACCCCAACACAGACCCCTTGACCAGGGAAATGGGCCATGCAAAAGACCCAGTGGGTTCCCATAAGGATTTTGCTGCTGGTTTGCAGGTGGGGGCACGCTGGTAAATGTGGGGCTCAGGTCCTGGGCATTAACTGCCAGCACCTTTACAGAGGCAAAAGAAGTCCAAGCCAAGTACAGCTGAGACAAACAGCTTTTTCATGGATCTATTTCCCAAGATTTTAACTGCAAGAAAACATTTACCTGGAAAAAAAAAATTCAAGACCTTCACCTTCCCCTGTCTGACTTCGAATGGAAACATGGGATGAAAAGGAGAGCTGATAAAAGCAAAATACAGCAGATCTGGCATTACCACAGCTGCCGCAGAGCTGTGAGCTTAGTGCTTGTCTTCCCACACAGAGAAACCTGTCCCTGCAATGATGTGGAGGGAAAAGAGGAATAAAGCTGCAAACAGCACCCGTGGCCAGAGTGCACTATAAACAGCTCAAGAGGCATCTCTGTAATAAAAGTGTCACTCTGTGGTTACAATGCATTTAATTTACACACAGCATAGCTCAACATCTATCATTTTAGTAGTCAAGGAAATTTCAAAATTGAGCATTTTTTTTTATTTGCTGCATGCTGATGGCATATATTAATATTATATTTATGCCAAATTCCCTACATGGAGCCAGAGAACCCAATGGATTTTCATCTTGCCCACTCATGCCTAGATAAGGGTGTGCAAACACAAAGCTATTCTGGGAGCATTTTTAGGCTCTGTTAAGCAGCGCTAACAGTGCCAGGGATAAGTGTCCAGATAAAGGGATGCAAGGATAAATACCAAAGCCTAGGAACAATCGGAGAAGCTCATCTTTATCTCTAGCACCTCTCTCACCCGGGCTTATAAATAGTGAATGCACTAAGAGGGTCATGTTACCCGAGTGGCAGGACGATGGCTGTGGACATTGGCCAAGGGCACGTTGCAGCTGCCCTTGCTGTGCCCAAACAATAGCCACAAAGGGGCTGCAGCTGCCTGCCTGCCATCACTGGCACCAAGGGCCACGGTGCACTTGGGTCTCCTCCTGCAATGGCAATCCTGCCATCGTCCTTAGCGCTTTCTGACTTGTTCCTGTTGCGTGGGGAGTGGGATAAGGCTCCCTGCCTGCTTCCCACAGGCTCTGTCCCACTAAGAAACAGCACTTTCCTCACCTCTCGCTGCAAGCAGGAAGAATTTCCAGCTGGCTTTTGCAAAATCATAGCTCTTTAAGGCAAAAGCATCAGCCTTCCCTCAGAGACAGGGTGGCACAACCTGGGTTGCGATGTTCTGCCCCATCTGAACCATGGCATGTTAGGGACTGCTCGCCCTGGCGTGGTAGTGCGGTCAGGCACCCTCTGCACAGGCCAGAGGCAGTCCTGGCAGGGGATCATATCTGGCTGACTCCAGGGAGGCTGTGGACCAGCATGGGATGGAAAAGTCAATGTTTTCATAGATGCTACCAAAGGGGCAGCTGGACACAGTGGTGGGGTCAGCAATTTTAAATAAGCAATACCTGCAGGCAGGAATAAAGCCAAAGAAGGAAATGCACTTAAAGAGGTATGACACAGAGCTGATGGATTCCTCTTTGCTCTCCTCATTGATTATTTTCATTAACTCATGTTAACTAATAAGCTCCCACTGATTGTCTGTGGGGAACAAATTAGGGTAGGGTTTGGGAACAATCTGCCAAGCCGTTTCAACTAATGTCTAATGGCTCCATGGACCATTTCTTCAGGGAGCTACCCAAAACAGGCTAAAGGGAATAGCAGCTCCTTTCAGAGGCAGAAACCTCTGTAATAAACCCTGACTCAGATGGAAGTAGACCAGCTCTCAACGCTTTGGATAGTGCAGGGAGTTTTCTGAATGCAGGGCTGAAAAACACATCCCACTGTGAAGCCTGCCAGCAACAAGAAATTAAAACCCAAATAGTTGACAAATGCTTTTCCCCATGGGTCTCCCCTGCTTGTGCAAAGGCTATTTCTGCTGCGTATCAGACACTGCTGCTCTAGAGAAATGATGCTCACTTCAAAGGAGTTGGGAATAGGTTTTTTTTTTAAGGGAGTCTCTTAGACTACAAAAAGTTGTGGTGTCAAAACCCCACTGGTTCTACACACCATGAGGTGGCTGTTGTGAGGCTTGGTTGACCTTTGCAAAAGCTGTTGAACAAATAACATGTCCTCTTAACAATCAGTGATGGTGACAAGGAAAAATGACTTGGTCTCTGTGTTTTCCTTACAGGTTGAGCAGCTGACAGAAGAGCAAAAAAATGGTAGGTGCATCTTTAACCTAACACAGCAGCCTAAAGACAAGCTCCCCAGCCAGCAGCCTAGCTTGCCTCAGCAATTACCCCCCAGAAAATGCTTTGGCCAGATTGGCCAAAGCAGGGCATGACCCAGGGGTTTTGATCCACCAGCGTTTCAAGCAAAGCAGTTTCTGTGTGTGTGCCCGGGTGTCCCCACCACGCCATGCCCTGGCAGTGCTGGGGTGCATGGGCAGGGGAGGCTGTGCCTGGGATGAGCTTCCTGCCCTGGGGTACCTGCCCACAGGGTCGAGGTGTGGGGAAAGACCCCCCACATCTCCTCTCCGCTCTCTCCCCAGAGTTCAAGGCTGCCTTTGACATCTTCGTGCTGGGGGCAGAGGACGGTTGCATCAGCACCAAGGAGTTGGGGAAGGTGATGAGGATGCTGGGGCAGAACCCCACCCCTGAAGAGCTGCAGGAGATGATAGACGAGGTGGATGAGGATGGTGAGACACTTGGGTTTCCTCCACTCTTCCAAGTACTATCGTCACATCTGCAGGCATGGGGGGCATGGTGCAGGTTGGGAGCACTCAGCACCTGAGCAGTGCTGTCAGGATCCATGCTGGGGACAGTCACATCCTGTGGAGAGCATCCTGCAATGCTGTGATTCTGAAGGACACTACATAGCCACCAAACCAGCATGGTTCCTTTAGAAAATTTCCAGAAAAAGAGAAACTATAAAAAAATATTAATCCTATAATGATCAGACTGCTTGAACTGGCCTTGGTGGGTACTCTGAATTTGCACAGATACATTTAAAAAACAAAATATAGGCCAGATGTAGCAACTGCCATTTCAGAAATGCCACAATTAAAAGATTTTATCATAGGGAAAGCCTTTCACTGCTCAAGTATACACACACACACACACACACACACACACACACACACACACAAATAACTGTCAGTATTGACTAAATCATTGTACTAGTGATCACACATAATGAAATCCACTGTGTGCAAGTTGGGCAGAAATACTATACTAAATAACTGGAAAATAAAAAAGCAGTTAAAAATCAGGCAAAAAAGGAAAAAAAGCTGTGTCAGTAGTGAACTGCTGGCACAAAGCCCCACTGCATGAATACCTGCTTTCTGGATGAGACCAATTCCATAGCAGGAATTGGTGCTTCTAGTAGGACCTTTGTCTTGGCAAAAAGACTGTAAAAGGCAAAACTTCAGTGATGACATCAGGGTGCAAGGGCCTCAGTCACTTACTCCAGTGTCCTGAAAGCTTCCTCTTGCTGCAGAGCTGCTCTCCTGAGTTTTGGACCTTGGTTACTAAAGAGAAGTGTGATCTCTCACTTGGCGTTGCTCGTCCACCCACCATAGCACCAGCTGATAGCATTTGTTCTGCCTGCAGGCAGCGGCACTGTAGATTTTGATGAGTTCCTTGTTATGATGGTCCGGTGTATGAAAGATGACAGCAAAGGAAAAACTGAAGAGGAACTTTCAGATCTCTTCAGGATGTTTGATAAGTAAGAGCTGCAACCGCAGCAAGGCGGGGTGCTGGGAGTGGAGCAACTGCCCTGGCTCCCCCTCCCTAATGTGTTGGTCTGTTCCTCGCACAGAAATGCTGATGGGTACATCGACCTTGAGGAACTGAAGATCATGCTGCAGGCAACGGGAGAGACCATCACCGAGGATGACATAGAAGAACTGATGAGAGATGGTGATAAAAACAACGATGGCAGGATTGACTATGATGGTAGGACTCTTTCTTGCATTGTTTGGTTGTGACCCCTCAACCATACCCCAGGCATCTCCCATGGTCTTGGTTACCTTCTTGGGTGGGCATGAGCTCATACAGGCAGTGCTGGGCAATATGCCTGACCACAGCCAGTGTTTGCACAGGGTTGGGGGGTTTCTTACACTTACCAAGGGGCCTGGGGCTGCTTTAACTGTCCCCATGCTGTGAAAGCCAGCCTGCACTGAAGCAATACTGCTTTTCACCAGAGACCTGCCTATCCCCTCTTGCCCCCTACACACAAGCACCATCTCCAAAGGGCTGCATCTTTGAATGTGGTGCTGCTGAAATGACCCCCAGACCATTTCTGAGCTAAGCCAGTGGCTATGTCTGTCCGCGGGCACTCACCTCTGGCATTTTGGTGGCAGCCAAGTGTGATGCTGGGCTCCAGTGACATTTGCAGTGAGAGTCATGAAGAGCCCTTGCCATAGCCAGAAGAGTGGTAGCCATCCCCTCTCAGCCTCTCACGCACTGGGGGGATGGAAAACGAGACAGGGCTGGGGAAAGCTGCCAAAAGTGCATTTGGCATCTCCGAGGGCATTTCGGTCCCACCTCACACCCCTTGTCTCCAATGTCTTCCTCTTGGCAGAGTTCCTGGAGTTTATGAAGGGAGTTGAATAAATCTGAGGCCAGATTGACAGCCTGAATCTCCTAAACCCCTCCAAGCTCTGCATCTCGTCTCCTTGTCTAAGTCCCCTGGCTACCGGCATGAAGACTCAGTGCTGAGAAGGGTGGCCACTGGGAAAATAAAATGTGTTAATACAAAGTGCTTCAGATGGTTGTTCCTTGGAGGTTTAAAAAGACCTTCACCCTGGTCACATACCCAATGACTAATGGGGCCGCTCCTTGGGGATGTGTCAAGAACCCACAAGCTGTGTCTGGCAAGGTGACTTCACAGCTGGAGCTTTAAACCTCTGAGGACGTATTTCGCTGCCAGCTCAGCAGCAAAGCCTGGCCCATGGGACCACGGGTGCTCAGTGTGAAGCTGCCATGTTGCATCTCCTCACCCCTGCCATAGTGAGCAGGCTCAGGAGCCAGCAGTGGTGCCTGCTGGTTTATCTGGAGCATTGGCAGCCTTTTAGCGACAAAATGTGGATTAAAACCCACTTACGCCACCGCTGAAATCCACGAGAGAGGGACAGTCCTTCTCCTTCCCACTCTTGTGCTGGCTGTCCTGAAAGGACATCCCTTCCTCCTCCCTGCCATCCTGATGGCCATCCTGTAGCATATGCAGAAAGAGGATCTCAATTTTCTTTGGAAATGTGAATAAAAGCTGTTCCTAAATTGGACTGGGTGCCTCTTTCCCATCTCACCCAGGCTGGCAGGAAGCAGGTGGCAGCATGAGCCCCACAGCACCACATGGTCCTCCAGCAGCCCTGGATGGGAGCCTTGCTGCAATAACAGAAACACCCAATTTTCCCTCAGAAATCATGTCTATTTGGGCCACAGGGGCCCTGAGCAAGGCATAACCCTGCTTTGGGACTCAGCCCCCAGGTGCAGGAGGACAGCAAGGCTGAGGAAGACAAGCTGCGCTGTCCCCAAGGGCCCTGGGCACCATCTTTTCTTGTCCCAAGGAAGTGTGGCATTCCTGCGGCATTAGCAGCTCTCCCAGCACATAGCTGCCTCCTCCCATTGAATTACAGCCCCAGCAGAGCTCACGCATTGCAGTCGTGTTGCTAAAATCAAACATTTACCCAAGCAAAATAAACATTGGCAGGGCAAGGCATGAGACTGTGTCGGTTGCAAGCCCTGCAATGCTGCCCTCAACCCTGGGCAAGCATGCTGCCATGCCAGTGCCCCCCTGCCTGCTGCACTGTCCTTTTGCCTTTCTTCCCAGAACCAAGGTTGTGGGTTGGTTTTTTTTTTCCCCTCTGTGGAAACAACACCCTGAACAGTTGTATTTCATACGACACGCTCTCATTTGTAGCAATGATGAATTATTGTAATTCAGACCAAACAGGCTTGAGGTGAAAGCAGGCATGAGAGATTGTTTGGAAGGATATGGCTGTGTCTTTTCACTGGATGATGAGCACCCAATGTTTTGTCCAACCAGGGCATGTAACATCAAAGAAACTGAGGAAATGAACCCCTGTCAGTTACAGCAGCTGATTTTCCTTAAAACCCAAGATATTTTGGGAACAATCCTAATGCAAACATCTGGGTGAACTGCTCAGAGGGGTCTCCCCAAGGGTCCCAAGCCCCCAGTGCCTTAGCTCCCGCCGATCCAGTAGAACTGCAGGTGTACCTGAAGCCAACAGACACAGAAAAGTGTTGGGTCAAACAACCCTGTGACAAGAAATGTTCTTGATTGTTACCATCTTCTGCTTCCAGTGAATCCATAGCCTAGAAATCAAAAATAATAATCTTCCACTGCCCCAGTGTAGCAGCAGAAGTCATTTCCCACTGAGAGCTGCTTCTGAGGACACAGCTGAAACATTATACCCCAGGCCTGGAAATCTCCACCGAGTTGAAAACACCTGGGCTTTGGTCATGAGCCAAGGTGAAACCAGGTCTCCCCACAGCCATGGCCATGCAGTCCACAGGCAACCCACCACATCTCAGCAGGCATCACCAACAGCCCCATCATCTTCCTCTGTCCCAACATCCAAGAAGGACATCTTCAAGATACTCTCCACTGCTTACTGATAGCCTTAGGCTCACTGAAGAGTGAACAAGAGAAGAAATAAGGTTAATTCCCTCCCTTCAGTCAATTTGGTGGCTTGGAGGAGGCTTGGATTCTGCTGTGACCCCAGGGAAATGGATGACTGCAGAGCCACCCCCCTCGGTTCAATGGCACAGGCAGCAGCAAGCCACGACCTCGCTGGCTGCCCATGCTTTTCCAAGAGTAAAACAGGAAAGGTGGTGGCTGGAGAGAAAGGACAAAGGTCTTGTAACAGCTGAAACTTGTCCCTAGAAGAGCAGACACACTGATGCTATTTGGGCTTTTTTAGTCCTTAGACCAGAGGTGCCAGCAGGTCAGCATGCTCTGCATGAAGTCAGAAAAACCGCTCCAAGACCCATTTGCCTTAACACGCTGCCTGTCTTCCAAGAGTAAGACAATAAACACTGTGGGCTGGGGGTACTGTGGGAGGATTTCGGTGTTGGCTAAAACATGGGAACAACTGCATTAGAAATGCAGTGTGACATAACAGGGCAGCAAGTGGTTAGATGGCTGAAAAAACAGTAACCAGTACAGGATCAGCCTGGTTGAAGCCTCCAGAGAGGGCATGTGCCTGGAGATGTGCTAAAGATGAATGAAAACGACCTAACGGAGTCCACGTATCTACACAACTCCGTACAAATTTCCAGTTTTCCCTGCATATGAACTTAGAGTGCCCAAAGCCTTTAAGAAACATGTCCACATGCACTTTTATTAGGGAAAAAGTCATTGAAACAATTTTTTAAAGATCAGGGAAAAAGCCATTTCCCACTCTCTAAAACAGCCCCAGCATCTTTGTCATCTTAACTCCCAAGCTGAGACAGACACTGTGCTGGTAGGTGACAGCAGCCCCTGCAACCAGACACAGACACAGTTCTAAGGCCATCTGATCTATTTGCTTTTGCTGGTAGTAGATTTAATTCCTGCCCTGCTTTGCAGCTTTCCAGGGTATTTAAGGCCTCTCTTCAGTCCCCAGTAAAACTCTGCTATGAGAGGAAGATCTGAAGACATTTTGTATGCATCCCCCTAATAAAACCTCTGCATCTCGCCTACAGTCATACACCTTCCACCAGAGCAGCAGCAACATGTGAGCTAAGGTGCATCAAACATTTTGCTGCGCCAAGCCTCTGTTGTGTAGAAACACCTGCAACAGCCTTGAGACTTGTGCAAAGCACAACTGTGTTCTGTTCACTGCTTTTTGCTTGAACACACTACTGAAAGGTGGTAAAGGGCGACAGAGCAACACATATCCAGTCCTACTTTTCATTTTCACCATGAACATCAAGATACTCAGTGAATACTCTGCCCCATCAGAGCATCTTGCAGTGTGTTGATCTCTCCTCCTGGGTTCAGCTCCACGGCTCACCTTTGCCAAACTGATTCAGTATCTGGTTACACAACCTTTGCTCCCTTTTTTTGGTTTGTTGGTTTTCTTAGTTTTTTTTTAGTCAAAGTGAAGAAAGGAGCCAAACTGGAACTTGATACCAAGTCCTCTTAATTGCAAAGGGGAGATCATCTGTAGCAAGTATGACATACAGCAGCAGCAAGCATGAAATGTATAACCTCATGTACAGCAGTAACTGAGCAGAGAGACGCTCTCAAGCTCATTGGCCTCCTGCAGGATACCAAGGACAGCTTTGAAGTTTTGACATGTCAAAAGGGACAGAGCTTTGCATAATGGGAATAGTTTCAAGTGGGCCACAGCTGCCAGTTCCTTCTCCTGGGCTATGTATACGTAATCATCCCAAAACAGATCTTCAGTCTCACTTGACCAACAGAACTTAAATGATTTCACAAGGCAAGTGAAAGAGGATGAGGACACGAGGCCATGCCAGCACAGATTCCCCTTCGCCACTTTCCCTTCTGGGCAGGGGCAACTTCTACAAGGAGGGAAGTTGTGGACTTAGCTGTCACTGGGTTAGTGCAATAGGTGATCAACTGCAGGAACACCCTGTGTGCAGGCAGCAGACAACAACAAACCTGACACCAAGCCGCTGTGGAAGCTCACAAAATTCCTGTCTCTTGCTACACAATGATGCCTGGATTAAGGTTACGTTCCGCGGTGCTGCATTTTGTCACGCAGACGCTATTTTGGTCAGAAAGTCAGCAAGCCCATATTTGGGAAGCTGTCCCCCTGAAGGGCAGCATGAAGGGCAGTGAGATGAAAAGGCTGCTTCTGAAGGCAGGCCTGAGGGAGCTGCCTGGAGCCACAGGAAGCCCAAACCTCCCTCTCTGTTTCTTGTTAACATGCCAACATCCTTTTCTCAGCCTGACCCTTGCCTCATTCTCTCTTTCCTCAAGCCATACCCTGTGAATGAGCTACTCTCACAACACAAACACTCTGGGGAAAACACTACGAGGGTTTAGATTAAATCTCCCTTCTTAGAAGAATCTTAGTGCTAGAGGTTTAAAATGCAGAACTGAAAACAGGTTGGATATCTGCAGACACATGGGTGAAGGGTATAGCCTCTTCAAAGGCTTTTTTCTTGCGCTTTTCTTATCACAACACGTTATCTGCAGCAAACTGTCACTTACACAGCTGGACCAGCCACTTTTGTTTTCTCCAACAGCAGCAGCAACACGAGGACATCTCCCCACACCAGGTCTCTCTACCAGCCCTTTCAAGGGGTGCCGAGCAGCTCTGGGCCAGGGGCTGAAGCTGCCAGATGTGCATGCTAACCTGAAGCACAGCTACACAATCTTGCCTTTGCAGACAAACCTGTTCAAGCAAGGCAGGCACCAGCCACACAGCTCGAGACCTCTGATACCCACCGTCACTCACGTACCACTGAGGCCAGTGGGATTTAAGCACTGTGCATCTCTGGGTGACTCACCTCTTGTCAAAAAAACTCTCTGGGTAGGATTAGCACCATGAGACCTCTCACCAGTTGACCTTCTGGTGTGCCTGAGGGCAGCAGAGACCAGACCACATTGTCTTGACTATTTAGCAGACTCTACCTGGTGGTATGAGCCCTGCGACTGCAAGCTCTCTCCAGCACAGCGCCCCTCCCGACCGGCACGTTGCTCTCGCACAGCAGTTAAGTTCTTTCAACTGACAAGCATCAATCTCCGCCAACAGTCCAAGAGATGCACACAGAAGGAATCAGACAGCTGGGGGGTTGCAGACTTCCCTCAGACCCTCAACTCTTGAGTTTTAAGGTAGTAAATCTCCTTATATTGCTTGGTTTAGGGCTGAGTGGCATTTTCATCAGTCAAAAACATTGAAAAGAAACTGTGGAAACAGGGAAAAGACTTCTGAATTGAAGCCATAAAGAATTCAAAATATTTCCCTTGTTTCAAAATAACATTGCGTTTTGGCAATTGGCTAGACTATTTAAAAAAAATCAATTACATTAATTGGAAGTTTTGGTTGAATTCTTTTTTTCTTTTTATCCATGTGTTCTGCTTCTCTACTGCAACTTCAGAAGATACTTGCGAACTTCCAGCCCTTGTGTCGATTCGTGGATTTACACCACCAGGTGGACAAGCACTGGCATTGCAGTTTCAGTAACAGCTTGCTGCATTTTAACAGGCAACTCATTTCAGTAACATAAAAGCACCTCTTGAACCAGCCTCACTGGCTGGTGGGACAT